AATAATAATAAAAAAGAAAATAAATAATATATAAATTACATCAATAATATATATATACCTAAATTATATGAAAACAAAAAATTGTTTTGTGTAGATCAATAGATTAACAAATGTACTTATATTCTGATAAGAGAATAAAAACATTTCTTTCTAAGAATTTATAAGTTTTTACTCGTTGTCAGGTCTTTTCGTCTCTACCTCTCACGTATTACTATATTTAATGATATGACATTTTGCAATATTTTGTAGCGCACCAAGTCCTTGATGGGAAACCGGTATATAAAGCGAGTAGCTATAATTGCCCAGGTTCGCTTGAAGATTTTTAATCGACTTGAAAATGTCGCTGAGATCGTTCAGTCTCGTCTTCGCAGTCGTGATCGCGTATTTATTTGTTTTCGTTGCCAGTGAACAACAATTGAAACTTCGTAAGTGAACAAACACATACACGCATATAAATACAATATTATTTTTATTTCTCTCTCTATAATTCTCAGTAATTTTATTTATTTAATTATCTATTAATTTTAAATATTTATTTATAAATCATTTTTATTATATGAAAATATCTATTTCGTAATAATCATTCAACAACGTTTTCAATTCCTTTCCCTTTTTTTTTTTTCTTTTTTTTTATTTTGACACTTATTTTTTCCAATTAATCCTTTGGGTACATTTGACATCTGAGATACGTCATTCACTTTTTTCTCTTAGCAGCGGATGACGTGTTTAAAACGTCAAACCGAAAATTAAACTCTTGGGTACATTTAACGTCTGAGAATCGTCATTCATTTGTTTTTCATTCACCATGTCATTTGGCAGCGATTACTTGAAGACATTTTAATACTATATACATATGTCACCAATATTTTAGAAATAAATAAATTCTTACGTAAAATGTATTGCTTTTACATACTAATCGAAGCAACCAAAAATTATGTCCGTTCCACATGCAAATATTTTCTCAAACAAATCCGTACCCAAAGGGTTAAACATTTTTCTTTGTTCTGTTTGTCTCTTTCGAAATTATAAAATGTTCTTTTTCTTTTTTTACGATTTCAGTATTTTATCGTTAGAAAAATGTAATTTAACTTAAATGATAAAAAAATATTGTTTCCGCAAGAGTATTTGTATATCTCTATACGTGAGATATAATAAAAATACAATTATTATAATTTATATTTTTTAAGTACTAATCGGTTGTGGACTTTATTTTGTACTTTGTTAATACTTTTAAAATGATTATTATACATATTCTCATATAGCATAATCTTTTATAATAATTTTTTACTCTTATCTTTTCTTTTTTTTTTTCTTCGTATCTGATTAAACTATTACCAAAAAAATTCAATTTATCTAATTATAAATATTAATTTAATTATTATTTTACCACGAAGAAAAATTATAACGATTAATAAATTGAATTTGTATGTAGCTGCTGAAGTAAAGACATGCAAAAGAGATGCAGATGATTTCGCATCCTGTTTGAGATTGGCTTGTCAAGAATCATGGCCATTATTTGTTAAAGGTAATTAAAAGATTTTTTTCTCTATTTGTTTTCTCTTACCATATTTAAAATAAGAGATATAAAGATATGTTTAATTTGAAAAATGTAATTTTAGGTATTCCCGAGTTTGATATGCCTCCTTTAGATCCTTTCTACGACGAGTATAGTTTATTTGAATTTGGAAGTAATGAACTTCATGGGAAAATAAGTACTAAGGATATTTATTATTATGGTTTCAAGAATATGAAATTTTTGGCCGTAAGACCTGAATACACTGGTGATAGATTTAAATTAGAAGTCGACTTATCTATGCCTAAAGGTCTTGCTGAAGGACATTTTAATATTGATGCTAATTTGGTCAATTTCAAACTCAATGGAGAAGGTAATTTTCACACAACGAAACAAGTGAATATTTTTAAATAGAAATAACTTAGGAAAATGAATCCATGTCGATAATATAAAAATTCGATCTAATCAAATTATTTTCAAATACGTTGGATTTTTTATTTCATTGAGAATCATAAATTTCGAAAAAAAAAAATCGGGGAGGAAAACTTTCTTTAAATATAAACAATATAAACACCACATATATTATAAATGACATTAAAAATAATTCTAATAATTATTATCTCCATCTCGTTAGGTCAATTTAATGTTAGTGCAGAAGACATAAAAGTAACCTGGTTTATATCTGGTCCGGTCAAAAATGATAGATGGATAATTGAAGAATATCGTCCAAGACCTCAAATACGTAAATTAAAAGTATGGGCTGATAATTTCTTCAATGGCAACCCTGAACTATGTAAGTATGAATATTATGCTTTTTTGTTTATAAAAATTATTCATTATTATCATTATTATTATTATTATTTTTAATTTTTCAACTTCCTCAGCTCTCTTTTTATATATTGTATATTATTATTATTTATTTATTTATTTATTTATTTATTGATTTATTTTCAGCCAAAGTTTTATTGAATTTTATAAATGAATTTTGGCCAACTATATACCGTGGAATGCTTCCATTCGTAGAAGATGTATGGAACAAAAAATACTCTCCTATATTAAATCATTTCTTTTCTAAACTTTCCTTCAACGAAGTCTTTCCTACTTCATAAAAAAAACTTTGTTTCTATTACTACTTCTTACGTTTTTTTTTTTATAATGATAATCATACAAATAATAAAAATTAATGTATTCGCGAACGTAAGAACGTAAAAGTTGGTGGTAGAAATAAACACATTATTTTTTAAGAATTTCATGCATACTCGTACGAAGGTAATGAAATTACTATTGTTTGTGTGTGTCGTTAGTTTTTTCTTTTGAATACATAAAAATAATGATAGGAGAAAGTATCTCTTTATATATATATATATATAAATAATATATATATACATATAAATTTTATATGATATATTATCGACATTTTTATATACTGTGAAAGTAAGCGAGTACTATCGTACACGTTATTATACTGAAGTATCCGAATATTGATGTAGACAATATAACTATGTTAACAGTTATCCTCGTAGAATATTTTTCGCATTAATTGTAAGTCTTGAAAACGTGTTTTATTATATTATTATAAGAAGAAGAAAAAAAAAGTATTATAAAAATATTCATCGATTATTATTATTATTTCTCTTTTTCCTCCCTTTCTCAAATCTTTCTAAAAAATTATATTTTCACATTTCTCAATAATATTTTTCCTTCTGTTATTTCTTTTTTCTTTTCATTGTCATCGATAAAATAATAATAAAATAAATGCGGAATAATACAATTCGACGAGTCAAAAAACAAAAGAAATAATTTGAAAGAATGTGTAAAAACTTTTTAGAAGAAACATATAAAAAAAAAAAAAGAAAAAAAAAAATAAATATCGAATAACAAAAAATTCGTACAATATTTTCATTAGAAATTCGTAAAAAAAACGTTCAATGATATATATATATATATAAAAAAAAAATATTATAAAATAATATCGTTCCATATTTTGGGGGAGGGGGAAGGTTCTTTTTCTATACAAATATTACGAAAGAAAAAAAGAAAAAAAAAGAAAAAAAAAGAAATATTAGGAAATAAAAAGATTGTTCTCAAGGTAATAAGAATGTCTCGACAGGTACATGACGTAATAGTTGATTGACAATTCCTGCAAATAAAACTGATAGTTTTCTTTTCAGTTGTGGCTCCATAGCTTTCAAAACTTCCTGTCCATTTTCTCGTAAGAATAAATTAGTTGCCTCGGCTGTAAAAAAAAAAAGAAAGAAAGCATTATTTCTTTACTCGTTCATATAAAAAAAAAAAATGAATAAAAAAA